CCACCACCCACGCCCTTCCCCCGAAAAAAACTTATCACACCCTTACCCCAAACAAAGGGCACCCCCCTAGCCCCACACATTTTTTTTTTCAAAACTGCAACAAAACTAGCAAACAACACACGGGACAAATACAGTTAAAAGAATAAACAGTAGATGTAGTCAATGTCTCGTTTGTCGTAAAAATTGTCAGCTAATGGAACGCATTGAATCCCATTCACCTCAGATCTCAAATAATAATATTGTGGTAATATAGTAAGAAGGGAAACAACCTCGAAAGGAGGGCAATATTACATCTAATCATAGGTTGTAGGCCCTATACTATTGCTGTGCTATTGCTTAGGATCTTGGTATTTATTGTCTGGATAGTTTATCTAAATCATCTTCAATTATTAAGATGGTTTTGCACAGAACAATCATAATGTAGGCCTTAACAATATGTGAAGTATTAGGTAGAAAGCCTTGGTCATAGGGCAAGTTGGGGCTCGAAAAAACTAAAATCGCCCAGAGTTTAGGCCAATGTAGGCAACTCTTCTGAAAGCTGTGAAGAAAGAAAAGTTTGAATTAGCAACGGCATGAGAGTATTATTTTCCTTGATTCAAACCACGCAATTTGTTATAACAATTACATTACATATGTCATTAAAACATTTTATTTTTTGTTTTGGGATGTTTCATAAATAGTACTAGTTTTTTAATTGCCAAGAGTCCCATTACATTATAACTGCTAATAACTACAAGTAGAATCACCACCATCGTTCATTGGGAGGTCACATTTTGGGATTACTGAAAGCGAAAAGCTTACGAAATGGTAATGTTTCATCATTCATCGTTTGATTTCTGTTTTAAACGTTACCAATCCCATCACTGTTTATTTCTAGCTCATTTAAGTCAATAAATTCTGCGTAGCTGAATGGATAGATGCTAAAATCATTTCGAACTAAAAGTGTCTTGATCCAGAGATCTAGAGAATCTACCCTCCTAGATTCTAGACGTCTAGCTAGGAGGAAGGTCTGACCGAGTCGCAGTTGTCCGTCTGTCGGTTTTATTTTAGATTCTAATTTTAAAAAATAAATTAGAATCTAGATATATAGATGTAGATTTTTAGATCTCTAGATCTAGTCATTAGGGCCTATTCTAGGTCTAGAATCTAGATCTAGATCTAGATATATTATTAGTTAGATCTAGAGCTAGATTAGATCTTGTTTAAAAGTAAAAGAACGGCTGGATTGTTTTGATGGACGAAGTGACTATCCGGACTCGAGTCCGAATTGAAAAAATTTTATTATTCGGACTCTGATTCTTGTCCAGCATGACATCACTTCCGACTTCCGACTTCCTGTGACTCATGACTCCGGCTTCCTGTCCTGCCTCACTCGTGACTTGCCTCAGGCTGGGTAGAGACCGGAATCAGTTCGGGCAAAATGGCGTTTGGTGCAGGAGCCGAGTTTTTATCTTATAAGAAATTTGAGGCCGGCCTGAAAAGTTATAGCGCTTCTAATGAATGTTTATTTGTCAAGAGGTCATCAGAAGCAATAAAAGATGGCTCGTTAGCGTGGGTTGGATGGGCGGCAATAATTTGTAATGAATTGTGCGCTGGTCTATGGAATCAAAAGTTGCCGTATGCTCAGCTCTACACAGCAACACAACTTTTTTTTGGTAACCAAGCGAGATGACACAGGCTTGTGTATTTGAACGAATCGGTCTTTTTTTTTTTTACACAGCTCATAATATGCAGGTGCTAGGTGGTCTGCTAATCTTCAAATTTACCTTTTTTCTACAACAAAGAAAGTTAAGTGGGAAACATGGGGGGGTGGGCATCGGATCGGCAGAAAAGGTGTGGGGGAAACTAAAAAATGGCGGAAAATTGGAAGCACTGAACGTTAGATCTAAAGAACGAAGACACTTCCTTTTTTCCGGACCCGAGTCCGAATAACATTTTTTCATATTTGGACTCGTTTCTTCAGACTGGAGTCCGAATATGAAAAAATGTTATTCGGACTCTAGTCCGAATAAAGACGGCCTTTGGTGAACCCACGGTGTTTGCACGTCGTATTACAAATGAATGCGCTTTACTCTAGTCTAGGCACTACTATAGCCAAACAACGACAACGGACTTGGATCTTACAGATATACTATAAACAGTCATGGGTCAACCGCTACGCGAACTAGACTACTTAGAATCTAGGGTAGATCTCTAGAATATCTAGAATTTAGTTCCCAGCAATCATAGCAATGCAAGGCTGAGTGAGTCACTGAGTGAAGGCTGCGACTGCGAGATTGCCTTTTCAATTGAATTATAAAGTGAAGTGAATAATTGTATTTTTTCGGGTTCTGACAATTCCGTATTTTTACTTCAGAACAGCTGATGTCCCCAACAAGGTCTTGATAGATTTTATAAATTCTTTCGGACTCACGAAACCTCTATTTATATATATGCCTAGATTACATGAACATGATGCCTTTGTCATGAGGAGACTGAATTTGGTTCAAAATCAAGGCATAAAAGCTTGAGTTTAGCAGTTTATTCTAGCCCTTTTTTTACTTTTATTTGAATTGTTGTAAATATCTCAGTGATACTGATTTATTGTAGCCTAACTGTATTCTCAAATCTCAGAACTTCTAGGACATTTCTAGTGTTTCAAAAAGTGCTATCATCAGCTGAAGTCAGCTGCTATACTAGGAAAGGAATCGTTGTCAATAGACAGTTTTTATACTCAGAATTGAGCAAGAATGTCTGTTGGTCCTGCGGTGAGTATGGTATAAACTGCAGCACTTTCTTTTAGAGATTCTTCTTTAATATGGCGGATTTCACGGTGAGGACCCACAGGTTTCCCACTTTCCCATCTCTTTTTCGGATTTTGAACTTTTTTCCAAGGGTTATTATAATGTATTTATTTATGTCATTGGAAAGGTTTTTTAAAGAGAAATTTTGAAATGTGAGTTAGAGAGACACCAAAGGCTTGTGTGCAAAAAAGTTTTTGATAAAATGTAACCTTACCTTGGTGCAAACAACACAATACATGAATGTCCCCGAGTTTGATACACATAATAATCCATTTTATCCAATTCGTTTGCCACAAAAATTATTGTGTACACAATAAATTAAAATAATATGTATAAGAAATAAAATAAACAATAGAAAAAGGAAATTTAATCCAAAAAAAAAAAAGAATTCAGTTGAAAAAATGTCTCTCAACGTCAGAAAAGCCTATACTATAAGACCGCAAAATCATCATTAGCACCGATCTGGTCGACTCAAAGCATTCATCGACATCAAACAAGACAATCACTGTAAATCACAATAGTACGTGCTATTTTGGTCCCTCACGTCATTTGTTTTCTTCCTACATGTGCTACACATTGTGTTGCTGTCTTTGAATCAAGCAATAGTAAAAATGATAGATGACAAATAAATGCGTTTAACTGGGTTGGATTTGTAATGGATTCCGAAGTTAGTGTGCTTCGGACGTTAGAGGCTTAGTACAGAAAAAACTTGGAAAACAAGACAAAACATCCACCTCATCCAAAAAGACACTAAAGAATTAAAGAATGGCGCCAAACGGAATTAGTTTTAGCCTCAGCTTTGCGAAATGTCCTTGTGATATTCTGTAAAAAGCTCGTAGAAATGCTGAGTTCAACTGTCTGATGTCGGAGACTCAACGGGAGGGGTGCGTCACAAACAACTCTCAAATCTACTAACATAATTTCTTCAATTTTCGCAAATTACGGAATACCGATGTAGAAATGAGTATCGCGTAGTCTGAGCATAAAAACTTACATTCATTTCGCTTTTGGAAGCAAATTTTGCACTTCATGTCAGGTCAAAATGTCGGACTTAATCGCGCGATTTTCTATCTCCATTCCGCTCTGTCCCCTGCCGTTTGAAACCGATGCTAGATTTCTTTTTTTCTCTTATCACATTAGTAAACCAGATTTCTTGCATGTTCTAGCCATTTTGTTGGAAAATCTATTCCCTTTAGAACAAAAATTGTCAGACTCGCGAACATCGTGAAATGTTTTAAGTCAAAATCCTTACGTCCGTGACACTACACAAAATATCAAACAAAATAAACAAAGTACAAAGTCAACACTTGTTTTTTATTCTCGTGTTTGTGGACTCATAAACAAACAATAAAACAAGACAAATTGAACCCCAAACAGTACAACAGGAGAATTTTATTGAAAAATAAAGTCCGTATTTCACTCCCTTACCGTGAAATCTGTCATATATATATATATATATATATATATATATATATATATATATATATATATATATATATATATATATATATATATATATATATATGCCTGTATTTGATACCATATCTGATCGAAATTACAAAAATTCATTATGTTAACTTTCAGAAATGTCAGAGTATAAAAACAGCATTTAAAAAAAATACTGATATTAGAGGTAGATAATGGCCACCTGAATAACACCTGTTCAAGCGGCATCTTTTCATTCCCCCTCACCACCCTACCCCACCCTACGTTATATTTACATTATAATATAATAATGATGACTGTGTAAGACGTTCACCTGTCTCAGGTGGCGAAATTTTTTTAGACATTGGGTGGCCATCTAAGACAATTTCGTCTGTATTGTCTGCAGTGTTCCTACTGTTCAATCGATAGTATGCATTGTATCGCTCTGTTTGTAGAATTATTGTTGTAAATATTGTGGATTATCTTACCAGAAAGTATTATCTGTTATAAACATACTCAGACAGTTCAACTGTGGTTCTCGCAGAAATGAAGATAACATGAAAAAGTGGTAAATCAGTGAGGTTACCGTTTTTGCTCTCTTTGTTGTTGTCTCTGACATTGATTTTATTTCATTTGTTCAGGCAAAGTACTTGGTGCAGATTATTGTTGCTGGAGCACAGGTGACAGCTCGTGCCTTTACCAGGGCAGTGAAACAGGAATATACTGCTAGTCAGCAGGCAGCGAAGAATGCGGGAGGCGGTCGTCACGGAGCAAGGAAAGCGCAAGCTGATACAGTGTCTGGAATGTCTCTTCAGGTAGTCAGAAAAAATTTGAGTTTTTACCCCGTGGACTTTAGCTTAAAGTATATGTCTGCTGTTGACAATATTTACTCTTCTGCTCACCAAACATACACCTTAGAGAATGGTAGTGTTAACAGTTGACACACAGTTGCTCAGGTGCACAGATCCTTTTAGGAAAGGGGGGGGGGGGGTTCAATTAATGATTAAGACCATTGTTTAGTGGAGTGCTCGGTCCACCAGAAAAGACGGCGGGAAAGATCCTGGAGGCAAGATGTTTATAAGCATGTTAAGAAACACGAAAGACTTATTTACGCTGGTTGACTTTACAAGTAGGCCCTACCTGTCTCACTGGCTGCTTTGGAGGTCACTGTAGTACTTAGTGTTGGTTATTAATTCTTTATTTTCTGCAGTTCTTTTGAGTGCCTGATCATCTTTGAGACAACCAGCATGCTGATACAAGAAGTACAGCTTTGATCTTTGTGTGGAAATTAATGTTAGTCGGAGCTGTTTGATGAGTGAAAGCTCAGGTCCAATCTCTTCAAAGATTTTTAGGAAAATGTCCTCCAAATCGAAGGACGAGAATTCTCAGAACATTATAAAGCTCTCAATATTGGTGAAGATTACAAAAGGGTTTTGGATGTGACCCAGTGGAAATGGTTGTCTTAGAGAATTTTGCTAATAGTAGTATTAAATGATCTTTTTTTTTTTTTTCGGAAGGTCAGGGTAAAATGTTATGGTAAGTCCCCGTGACGATTCACAAGAAATAGTTTTTCAAGTTGGAACTCTATCTGAAAAATCATGTAATTCTGCTGTCTAGAGTTTGTTGAGACTTCATGACAGGATGTGCTGGATGCCTCTGATTCTGTTCATGGCTATCTCTTTCTAACAACACTCTGTACATTGTTTAGCTGTACATATTTTTATGTTGAATACTCAAATGTCTGTTCTTGTTTGTCTTCCACTCCAACAAGCTGTTCAAAATAATGCGAAAGTAGAGATTCATTAAAGTTTAACATGATTTTTTATTTTGTCTCTTCCAGGAAGCAAAACAAGTACTGAATATATCAGACATTACGGAACATGAATCCCTTTTGAAGAACTATGAACACCTTTTCGAAGTGAATGACAAGTCAAAGGGAGGGTCCTTGTATCTGCAATCCAAGGTTTGTTATTATATTTTGTTTGATAATTACTCACTCTTTCATCGCAAGTCATTTGATGAGAATATTCCTTTCCTTCTGACAGAATTATACTGAACTACAATGTAAGCAACTGTGGTTTGCATTTCTAGAGAGTATTCAGTTGGGGTTGTTTGAAAGGTTTTCATGAATAATGAATGATTTTGTCTATTTGGAAATTGATGTTGAGATAGAGGCCCCACTGCTTCAACAACATTTGAAGGGGACATGCCATACTGGACTAGTATTTGGTCTCATTGCCTTAGTTTTGGTGGGTTAAAAAAATTTTTTAAAGTCTTACCCGCACAAAGCAATACTGGCTGGAAACGGAAATCTTTTTGAAAGCAGAAATTAAGCTATCATGTACGAATTTCAAGCTGCATTGAGAGAGATAGATAAAGTTGGACAGTTGGGAAACTTTTTTACATGAATTACGCCCCCTATGCCACGCCTACATGCATGTTCAGTTCATAGTTTAACACACTTGAACCAATTCTTTAGTATATTCACGGGACGCCTGGTGGCCGGAATCCCATGTTTTTATGGGATGCGCTTGATCGATCGATATCTCCTGTGATTTTCTGTTACGTGCTATGGAAAGTGGCAAGCCAACAGTTGACCCATTTGTTTCGTTAATTGATGAAATTATGTGTGACACTTTTGTAGCTGTAACAGACTAAGTCCGCCACCCATGCATTGTGATTAATGATTTTATTACTAATTTGGCGCAAAAAAAAAGACATTGCAATTTCAAAATATTGATAAAGTAAAAACTATTTGGACAAATCAGATGGAGTTTTCTTTTTCTGTAAGAGCATTTCTTTATTCCCTTTGTTGCATTAAAAAAATTATAGCTTTCATGGTCTTTTTGTGGTTACCAATTCGATATACCCCAAAACTGTCAGGCTGCAATGATTGTTCGGTGAATAATAACTCAGGCTCAAGTGAGTGAAATATTTAGCAGATTTGGGTTCTGGCATTGATTTTTAAAATCCTACTTTGGCTTATCTAGCATCTGCGTTTCTCCCGGCCGCGACCTGCAAATCGCAGCCGCGATTTTTAGCATTTTTTGGTCTGCGAATCGCGGCCGCGATTTTTACATTAAAAAAACAAAACAAAAACAAAACCACTGCTGGGGAACAAAAGTATAAAAAAATGAAAAGATTTGATTTATTTTATACTTGAAGAATATAAGTACATTACATGCTATTTCTATTGCTGTTTCTTTTTTATTTTTCCTTCTTTTTTGTGTTTTAATTTGTTGTTGTGCTAATTTTTAAAAATTGTTATTGTTCTCATGTGTTGTTTTACAAAAAAAATTTTTTATATAGCATAATGTCGTTTAATTTGATGTTGATCCTACCTGATACATATATATATATATATAAATGTGTTATGTTAGAGCGTGTCTCCACCAAAACCACACGCTGACATGGTGTGTGATTTCATATTTACATGTAATATCTTGTAAGCCTACTTTTTCTTGAATTACACATGTTTAGGATTAAAACGGCCAATTTTCGGATAGATGGACACATGCACTTATTTGTTAATTTCTATTGTTGTGTATGTGCTGTTCTGATTTTGATTTGATTCTGTTGTGAAACCTTTATTTTTCACGTTTTTACACTCTGTGTGGCTACAAATGATATTCTGGATTCTGCACAAGAAATTGTGTGCCTTAGATTAAGTTACCTCTATCAACATATTGCTGAGAGATGAAAGCTGGAAAATTAATGGCCACTTTTATGGCAACTTTTGCCATTTTTGTGGCAACTTTTGGACAAAAAATGGCAACCGACGCAGATGCTAGGCTTATACTCGTACCGTGTCTGCTCTCTCTCTATCTCTCTCTCTCTCTCTCTCTCTCTCTTTCTCTCTCTCTCTCTCTCTCTCTCTCTCTCTCTCTCTCTCTCTCTCTCTCTCTCAATAATGGCTTCTTCTGTAAACAAAATGTTATAGTCATTTTAAATTTGATCTACCCTCATTTATGCCAATTTCTTTTCGCTATATGTGCAAACTCTCTTCGCTGTGTGCATTTTATGAATACAAATAGTTTTTTGAAAATTTAAATTGTGACCTGAAAATCTGGCTGCTGTGCACGTTTTTCACACGATTCTCTATGTGTGTATTGGCTATGTGTGTGCTAGATTGCATTTCTCTACCTCATGCTCAGAGAATCTTCAGCTAACTCCCTCCGTAGATCTGCTAGCTGCATTATTATTGTGCTAGAGTTGTAGGAGAAGTGACCAGGTCAACTGAATTATAAATTGCTAACGGACAACCAACCAAGCATTTTCCAGAAAGAAAGGTCATAAGCAATTTGATTGTAACATTGAAATATGTTTTCATATTTGACATGATTAGAGAACTATCAAAGAATCATGATAATTTCTTCTCCTTTGAATTTAATGAGCATCAAAGGTGCTGTGTGGGGCAACTTTCAAAATAAAATCATGTTCCTGTTTTTCCCCCAAAATTTTTTCACATTGTTTGATTTATCGTTTCTTTTTGCAGGTTGTTCGGGCGAAGGAGAGGATTGATATGGAACTGATGAATATGTACAAAACACAGCAAGAAAAGGCGCGGAAGCAAAATCCACCATCTTGACGAAAGTAGCGGGGGGAAAATATTGTCTTGTAAATATTGTTGTTTTAGATACTTTGTTCTTCACATTTGATGATGCTATGTGATTGGGAATATGGATTTTGATTTTTTGTCGGAAGAGTTTTGAAACTGCTCTGTCTATAAACCGGTAATGATAATGTTATGTTATATATGAACGCAAAATTGGTTTGTATATCAACAGCTTAAGGTAACATCCCGAGATAAGAAGTGAGGGAGATAAAGAGAGAGAGAGAGAAGAGTGTGTGTGGAAAGGGACATCTTTCAGTGCAGGATGAATTAAGTGGATGAGCGTCTCTCTGCTTTAATGATGCACTATTGTGATCTGTTACGATGTTCGCTGATGTGGGGAATAGCTATCGAGAGACTTTCTGGGGATTCCTTTTAACTGAGGTGCTCTTCCTGTGTGTTGTGCCCCTGTTTTCTTGTCTGACAATACGTTTTGTTGGCAAGTTATTAAATGTACTAAAATCAGAAAGCTAAATATTAAAGGAGAGAGAAAAACTGTTTCATTATTTTAACAATTGTAACCTGTATTAAATTTTTTTTTTCATTCTTTTTTTTTAACGTTTAGAATTTGAATTTTGACAAAATGTTCTTTGACTTTGACAACATGCAACAGCTACCACAGTTTAAGAAACCGCAATATAAAAAGGGATGTTAATTTTGGGCTTTCATTAATTTCATTCAGTAGTATCTGATTAACATGTAGGAATATCGTCAATGATACATCCAATCTGTGTTGAGTAGAAAATAAGGACAAAATTTTTGGAATGGTTAAAAATATTTGGACGAATAGAGTTTCTAACACTCTCTCATTTTCTATTTTCATATGAGACAGAAACGTTCTTTAAAAAGCTATGATTTATCTGGTGTTATTTTGGAATGCCTCCCATTAGAGTTATTTTTATGCCTAGCCTCTTTCTGGGGAAAAGTCAGTAGACTTACTTTTTCTGTGCCCTGAATCAATATTCTGGCTCTATTTCAGCAGTGTGATTGATGGACTGTTGGTATCAAAGTATTGAAATATCAAAATTTAACACTTTTTCTAACATTTGTCTTGTTACATTATGCAAATCATAATATGAAAGCTGCTACTTTAAAAGCTTACATCAGAGACCTGAGTATTTCTTAACTCCTTAGTGATGACTGATGTGTACACTTGTGCCCTGGAGGCCCTCCTTTCAGGACCAGTACAAGAAAGTTTGTTCAAAAGAATGCTTTTAAACAAACCTGTCAGACTTTCTTACCTGTCGTTCTTTCTCTATGAGGCATCTTCATTCTCCAAATATTTGCTGACCTAAAATTGTTCCAATGTCATTGATGGGTGCGCTTTTCCTTGGAAAGTATATTTGGCAGCATTGGTCTTAATCATGCTATCAGCCACTGGATGGATGGTCACTGGGGTGCAAATTACGAATAATGGAGAAAAGACAAGAAATGGAAGTACATATATATAGAGAGAGATAAGAAGGATTCTGTCACCGGTTGTTGAGTCTTCGATGTATTCTTGTCGGCTTTTCAATTTTTTATTTTTTGTTATCGTGCCAGACAGCATTTGCCTGATCCCATAATGTAACTTCTTTTCAGAAATGACCCTGAAAGAAAAAGCATACAAATGACCTGCCATGTAATGTGTTGTCGAGGATAGATAGAGACTGGGTTGAACAGATGTTTTAGTAATAATAGTTTAAAAGTGTTGGCCACTATGTATGTGGTTTTTTTCTTTTCAATTTTTTTTTTTTTTAAAGTGCAAAGGAAATTGACCACTTCAGAACAGAGATAATAAAGATTCCTCAGGATGTATATTGAAGATGAGAATAAAATGTTTGAATATCCAATTTTCTTATTTTGTGTTTGTGAGTGAAATTTTGTGGATATTATTGCAACCGTACCCCCACGAACCTTTAAAGACAAAAACTTTTTGCAACTCTTGCTGTTAATGATTGTACAAAATGTTTTAAGAGAGGTAACCCTGGTGCATATTGTACTTACAACTGCTTTATATAGGTAGTTATAGCCCTTGTTTACTTTTGCAGAAAAAAAAATTGAATTAAGATAAGTAATAAGACTTGGACAAAGTAGATTTTTTGCTGTTGTAGCGTGATTTTCAGGAAACTGAAGATCATACTTGATGACAAATGTCTTGCAGTGTTAGTCCGGTTAACCATCATGGATTTTGTGGTAGTGTTTTAAAAGAATTGATTTTTTGTGGTCTTAAAAAAATAATATATGTTAAAGTTTGAAGTATGAAAATTTATGATCAAACAGTTCTGTGTTCATAATTTATGAGATGTGAAACCTTTGTGCCAGGTTTTGCCAGTTCATAAAAAGGAACGCGGAAGTAGCATAGTATTCAAACATTTACACCGCCATCTGTCAATTGACTGGGTTGTACCATCCTTACTGAACTAATGTAGATAAACCCCAATATACTGCCATAGAATTGGCCACCAGAGCTGTACACTACACATGGCTCATGGCGCCCACTCAGTGGCTGCTTGACAATCTCTTTTTCACACACATCTCTGCAAGCCTAGCTTATTTCTAGCGCTTGTAGTTGTGAGTTGTAATCGATTTGCTCCTGGTTTGCGCTGATTATGAAAATGTCATTAATTTAAGGCTTTGGCCAATCAATATTTAGATAAAAATTTGAATTAAATTTTAAAGTTCAAAGCAACTGCGCCACCTCACCCTACCGGCAAAATATATTTGGCATCAACAGATATTAGCCAGTGAGGCTTTATTGTGTGAGGGCTCACGCTCAAGTCTACTAGACAGATCTAATGTGGCCCAAGGACTGACAAGTATCGGTTTAATTAATAAAACAGTACATTTACGTATTTTAAGACAACATAGTATAATAATATCCTAGTTTCTGATCTTAGCTTCTTTAAAGCTGAATTTATGTTGGAAGTTTACATGTTATTGGTTGCTTCTTGTTTACTCTTCCATGGACATGGCAATCGCACAAGATAAACCTAGATAGATGAGACAAGACTGTGGTCACAGTTGGTCACTGCTAAGCACAAGGGGGCTATCCTGAAAAATGCTGTTTTGAGATAATCGTAGGTAAAGTTTTTGCCTCTTGTTCAGTTTCTTTAAAAGACGAGGAGAGTTTTCTCTATAACCAAACAAATATACTTATCAATGAAACCAAACTTTTCCTCTATAGGTAGGGCAAATCCGACTTTTGATGTATGTCAAGATTTCGATTTCTGGAAACCCCCGAAATCTGGGTTAGCCCGCTTGTCCTTGAAAGCGACCAGTTAGTCTCTAGTCTCTTGCCTACCAGTCTACCACTAGTCATGATGGCAATCGTTGCTATCCCGTTATGCCCCCAGCCCTGATATACCGCCAACGTTTGGCTTGTCTCAAGGTAGGCGATATAACGAGGTTTGGCTGCACTTGTAGGTCAGGTTGACAATTCCTGTGCTAGAATAATAACTGGTACCGGTATTCAAATACATGTAGATTTTCCACACACTGTTGGAATACAACATGAAAGATAATTATGATGATAAAAATAATTATTAAAATTAAATATTGGCCGGCACTATTTCTCCGAACGTTCTGGAAAATAAAGCTAGGCACTCTTTCTCCGAACGTTCGGGAAAATAAAGCTAGGCACTATTTCTCCGAACGTTCGGGAAAATAAAGCTAGGCACTATTTTTCCGAACGCTCGGGAAAATAAAGCTGGGCACTATTTCTCCGAACACTCTGAAATCACATACTTTCCTCCAAATTTCGGATATTATATAGATCTATAATTATAGTATAGACCTACCAAAGATTGTTTGTATACAATATGGTTCAATCGGTCCAAAAAATGTCCGCAGTAAATATTTATAAAGAAACGCTACAGTTCCAAACAGTTTTTCGCTACACTGCTGCTCTTAAAACTTAATGTGTTGTGTTCACTCGTGTGCTGTCTAGTCTAGATCTACGGAGGGTTATTGATAACGACACATAGAACTAGCATAGATATCTGCGTTTGTTGCGGCCGCGACCAATCAATCGTGGCTCGATTTTTTTGGCATTTTGGTCCCCAAATCGGAGAATAAAAGTCAAATAAAATATAAAAAAAGAAAGAAACCGAACCTCTTTACTTTTGAAAGAAAGTTCACCTTGCTTCACCTCGTCTCTTTCTCACTTGTTGTCACCACGTTGATTTGTTGAATACGTTACAGTTACTTTTATTTTTCCCTCTTTGTGGTGTTTTATTTTGTTAGTGTGTATTTTTTTCTTTCTTGTTATTGTTCTGATGTGTTGTTTTTCTATCAATTTCTCTTTGATGGGGACAAAGGGGGGGGGAGGGTTATATAGTGTAACGTCATTTAATTTGATGTTCCTACCTTCATTAGATTCTACATATATATATATATATATATATATATATATATATATATATATATATATATATTATATATACGGTACATGTATATAAATATATAGATATGTGTTATGTAAGAGCGTACGTTCCACCAAAACCGATCACATGTACTGACACTAGTGACACTGGCAGGCCCCTTAAATGTGTGCGATTCCATTTATAATTTACTTGTAGTATCCTGTACTTTGTTTTAAAATTACGCACATTTAGTGTTAAAACAGCCAATCTTCTTCGGACAGGTGGACTCACGCCCTTATTTGTTAATGTTTGTGGTTGTTTATGGGCTGTTCTAATTTTGATTTCATTCTGTTGTGAAACCTTTCTTTTTCACGTTTTTACACTCATCTAAAAATCTCTAGACTAGCCAGATTAGCTCTTGAAAATTGAAATAGATATAGACCTAAAAATTTGCTCCTGTGTGTGTGTGTGTGTGCGTGCGCATGTGCGTGTGTGAGTGTGTCTGTGTGTGGTAGTAAAGTGTGTAGTGTAAGTACAGAGTGAGGAGCGTGCGTATGTTTGTTTTTCGGGCTTTATTCAGTAACAGTTCAAAGTATACAAAAATAGAAACACAGGATCCATTCACTCCAGGGCTCATGAGTCGTTCCTCTCTTTCAGTTTCACTCATTCATTCAATTCTCGTGTTCTCTCCCGCGGCTCATCCCCGTCCGCATGACTTTCACACCCCACCCCCTCCCCCCAGGCACACACAAATAAAATCTCACTCATTCCCTTGCTCCCTGCGAACCATGGACAATAATATAGGCAAAACACTGCCTTAGCCGAATTCCTTTCGTTCGTGAGCTGTGGACCAGGCCAGGGGGGTCGGTTTCGTCGTCTTGTAGTTGCTGTCGCCTGTGGATACACTCGTACATTCTTCCTTTCACCTGCTTTTTCACTCATACTGCCTCTCCATTCACAGCTCAGCTCGTCATACGTTCAAAAGTTGCCCACTGATCATGTTTAGTTAGTGTGTGTATAAGTTTGTGTGTGTAGGCCTACATGTGCATGATGGTGGTGGGTGTGTGGTGGGTGTTACTGAAGGTTGTCTGTAGGCGGGCTTGCCATGCTGTGTTCCTTCCCAATCCCAGACCAGAGGCAGAATGAAAGTTGGCGCCGAACTCTCGCAATTAAATAGGCAAAAAAATCACGAGACCGGAAGCCGGAAACCGTTCGGAGAAATACAGATCGGCACTATTTCTCCGAACGTTCGGAGAAATAGTCACTTCGTTAAAAATTAGTTATAATATTTGTGTAGATATTTCACCTGTCACAACATGTGGTCGCATAAGGGGGCTATCCCAAAAAATGCTGTTTTGAGAAAATCAAAGGTAAAGTTTTTGCCCTTTGTTCACACCAAACAAATATACCCACCAATGAAACCAAACTTCTCCTCTGTGTATGGCAATGCCCACTTTTGGTGTAGGTCAAAATTTCTGGAAACCCCCGAAATCCGGGTTATCCCGCTTGTCCTTAAAAGCGACCATATGTATGTGTCTTGTGTGGTTTATTTCATTGTATCACCCAAACATACCCTGTGACCTTTCAAAACCGTTCAAACTGCCGTATTACAGTACAGGCGCTCAACAAACCCTAACATGCTAAGAAGATATAACCGGCTATGTATCTCAGGAATCCATTCCCACCGTGGTGGGGAGAAGAAGATTGTATTAAGTGTCAACGGTCAGGTTCTGTCTCATCACAGTTGTTCCACTCGGCCATCCACCGCACAGGTTTCCCTTGGGGTTTGGCCTGTACATTGCCTGAGTTCAGCCGGCACAGGCCAATGCAAGCCTGAACATGGACTGAATGCGGCCTGCACAGGCCTTGCACAGGCCAAATTCTGAGGGAATCCCCTGCCTGCAAGGCGGCCTCGTGAGTTTCTGTCTGTAACAGATATTTTTTGCACAGACTTGAGGCCAGGATACTGGAAGTTTAAAAAAAAAAAGTTTTAGTAAGTGTTTTACGGCACTTGCAACACAATAAGGTCATATAAGTGCCGAGATTAGAGGTGTTACAAGAGAGTAACAAACACAAAAAAGAAGAAGGGGAGATAAAGACGATCTAGTATAATCTAGATGTTTGATAGGAAAGGAGAAGCAAACCACACTAGCGCACCCGCCCACCACCCGCACTGGGAGTTAAAAAATTGATAGTAAAATTAGATCTAGATTTAGTAAAGAAAAATAAATTTAAAAAAATATATAATCATTGTTTTCCGCATCAAAGTGTTCCGTTTCTCTTTCAGCGGACCAGGGACCTACCATTGTTGTACATGTAGAAGTTTGTTGTACCAGTAATATATTCTCACCAATGCGTGGGTAATTCTTGTAATCAGAAGTATAATCAGTCAGTTTTTTCACCAAGCTTTTAGCCTCTGTGGTGTGCGTTTCTACGTGGTAGCCATCGTTTACACCACATCGCAGGTTTTCGTCACTGACTTTTCTTCA